GACCCTTACTGTGAAGTCAAACGGCAGGCCTGGCTTGAAGTACTTTGGTATGTTTTGGAACAATAAGACGTAGGGAGATTCCACAATTTTAATGCCAGACTTCTCGGCCTCAACCAGATCACTTCCTGTAATGATCATCAAACAATCCAATATATATATATAAATAATCACTGACATAATTAATGTTGTGAACAAAGAATATAGCCCTGCATCAGACTAGTGACATGTCCAGGGTGTACCCCACCTCTCACTCTATGATAGCTGGTTCTAGCCCCCCTACGCCCCTGATAAGAATTAGTGAAAGAGAAAGGATAGATGCATGTTGGAACACAGAATCAAAAGGTTCTTGGAGAAAAGAGTTCTGTGCAGTGTGGAGGTGCAGTAAAGGTGAACCATTTCATGTCCATTTTCAGTTATTGTTGCTTGAGCTGTTAGTTAGTACTGCAGCAGATAAACAGGATTTTGCTTTTCAGCATTTTAACTGTTTTTCCCGGCAGCAGCAACATGATCTACATTTCCAAATAATATGATGCTAAAGAGAGTCAAAGGTTTTGATTACTTTGGTTTATCCAGAATGCTAAAGGGCATGTTGATACAATTCAGAGCGTAAGTTGCGTCAGTTTGGAGTTTCACAGTAGACATTATTGATCCTGGCGAGCAGTGGTTAATTACAACACACCGGAGAGTTTGATCTTACCAAGCTATCAGAAAAGGAGCAAGGCAAAATTGACAAGCTGATCATCAACTGATGTGAGTAGATAAAGCAGCTACAAAGCCAACTTAACACCACGTCCAAAATTCTGAGTTAGTTGCATTAGAAAGCACACGAGATTAATCTGCTCATTTACAGCACATTTTATCGTTGTGTTAGATTTGCAGCATTTTAAATGTGTTTACTTTTTAATTAATTAATTAATTGTTTTATTTATTTGTGGTTCAAAATGTTGACTTTCTTTAGTTTGTCTGAAATTCTGGCTCACACTTCATGTTTACCTGTCTTGGTGAGCACAGAGGCCTTGACATACACAGAGTTCCCGATCAAAGATCGAATGTTGGGGTAAGCACTTTTGATCTCCTCCATGCTCAGTGTAACAGTTCCACCATCAAGCTGCACGAAGAGAAACAGTCACGACAACACATTTAGCAGCTATAGAGGCCATTTAGCTTACCCAGTATGTAAAATTATTAATATAAACTCTTGGCTCAAGCACCTCTTTACAGCCACTATGCTTTTGGCAAGGATGCTTCATCAGCAAGCTAATGTCTGTACACAGAGTACGCAAACTTCATACATCAAAGAAATATTTGAAATTTAGTTGAAGCAAAGACTTTGGTGGTTTCTTTGTTTGTTTGGGGGGATTATAAGAACTTTTTTAAGTTCTTATAAATTACTACTTTTGTTCTCCAGCTGCACTCACACCGTATGTTTGAGTCCCATGGCTCTCATCAACTTCCTTTTTAAAACTACTTGCAACTATTTTGCATATAGATAAAAATGACTTAAGCATTGCGGTC